CTTAAAAAGTTGGAAAAGAAGTCACGTGAGGCCACTTTTGGAAAACAATTTCTAGGCCAAATTAATACTATCAAACCTGACTTTTGCAAGGAATTGGAAATGCTTTTCCATTTTCCAAGGAATTGGGAGCCAATCAAACAGGGTCTAAAATTGTCTTTACAATATTTGATTCTTTCAAATTTATAATGTATACAATAATGATTTAATTGTTATCTCGAGTTTCTCTTAAAATCTCTAAAGAGCCTACACCTTGGAAAGTGTATAGAAGCCAAATTTTAGAGTTATGGATGAAGTAGAACACAAAATCGCTTAAAAAACTAAACACGAATGAAATTCCTGCCGCACAGGCTGCGCTAAGGTGCTGGCCCTTCTACTACCCTTTTGCATTGTCAGCGCCTAGGTTCTATCTCAAAAGGGTTGTGTTAGATGTACACCAAATCCATTACCTAATGGATTACACTCCCCTCACATGGAGGGGGGCCCACGAATATTTTATTGTGTGTAGGCCCCCCTTCATGTGAGGGGGGTGTAATCCATTATGTAATGGATTGTGTACATTTAGACTAATCCATCCCAAAATGTTCCAAACACGTTTTTATATATTCTAAAGTCATTTTCCTAATCAGACTCTTAATCCATGGTGAAATTTAATCTTTTATCAAACCGGGCTTCCTAACCAACATTATCTAGGTTTCCTTTATGAATCAAACTTTCGATTCACATGGAATTTGAGTTACAAAACATAATCCCAGATTTATTGTTTAGTTTCTCTTGGTACCGTGTGTTACCTCATATTGGGCATCAGATATTCAGAAAGCTGTTAATGATAAAATTATGAAGCTGAATCTTTAAGATTCTTGACAAGATGTGATGACTAATTACAGAGGTCCTCTTTCGAGGGACACAGTAGCACGACAAGAACGGATTCATGTTTCCTTACTTCGTGACATAAAACTAGTTATGCTTTCTGTTTGTCTGGAATTCTTCCTAACAGAAACTTGTACATTTACAGGTTCTATTGCCTTATCATGGAAAATAGCAAACAAAACCACGTGTCAGCAGAAGATTCCCCTGAAGTGCTTCCATCACTTATCAAAGCTATCGCTTCGAATGAGGTTGCTGGCTTTGATAGCGTTAAAGAGCTCGATGATGTGAACGACAGATTCAAATCAAATGGCCATCGTCCCAGCTCGTTAGCTATAGTGAGTTCGTAATCTTATGCTATTCTTCAGTAGTACTCGTGATTATTCAGACTTGAATGGACAAGTGAATATAATAATGTCGATAAACATGAGTACCTCTCGACTCAGTTCAAAAAATTGTTAGTCACCGTATACTTTTTCCAAATTATCACAAAAATTTCATTTTTGTTTCAATTTTGCCATTCTTCTACGTACCTCCGTCTTTCGAAAGCTAAGAAATGACCTGCTTGTATGATGGAAATGATAACATGGCTTAAAAATTCGGTTAATTTATTGGTTTCGTTATCCAGAATGGCAAAAATTCTTATATAAAAAATCCAATGCATTTACAGAAATGAGAGTTAATTTATTGATACGTGTGTTTTGGTT